CCCGGCCGGTCCCTGGCGTGGGAGGGCGAGACCCAGCCCGAACCCCCGGCAGTGCCGGCGCAGGCAGCGCACCGCGAACCCACGCCGCTTCGCACGCCTTTTCCTTCCAGCATGGAACAGAAATAACTTAAACGTCCTAAAGCTGCCCCTCAGACGGGATTACTATCCTTCCTGGTTTGCGTTAAACCTAGCTTGAGCCTCGCTTAGCCCGAGCCTCACTTAGCCCGTGTTTCTGCTCACCAGCCGTGTCTCTGCTCGCCCGTGTTTACTAAGACAACCTTACAGCCGTGGCCGACGATTCTTCCTGCCTGTTCTCTCCTGACAGGGAAATCGGACCACGCCGCTTCTTACGACGGCAAAGTTGTCGCTGCAGTTTTACTTGTGGCTGTTCTGGTTTTGCCTAGATCTGCTATGTTTTTTTTTTTTTTCCTGACAATTTCGCATTTGTCCCTTTCGGCTAGGTCCAGAAAATGTCTTAAAGAGGCAAAACAAGTCCTAAATGAACTTTGCCAAACCTCCTGTGACAGTCCCAGAAATAAGTTCCTGTGTGCTCCTTCTCTGCCCAGTGAGATCAGAAGCGCTTGGTCCTTCTTCCTTGTCCTCCTTTATTCCCGGTTCCTCTCTGCACGGAGGCGGCACTGCAGAGGCTCGCTTTGCCCAGATTTTAGGCTTTGCAAATCCCAGGTTTCTTTTCACTCTGCATGTGCAAGTTTGTATCATCTTCTCTACCCAGATATCATAAATAGGACCTGGTCAACCTAATCTGGGATTTTACTGTGGAGGTCAGGTACGTGCTTTAATCATTATTGGTGCCTCAGTCTTTTCCTGGGTTTGGCTCTCAAAGCTCTGGTGCCAGATAAATACACGGTGATACAGAAAACTCATCTGATCTTCCTGGAGCTGGGGATTAAGTTCCTTTGATTTCAGTGGGAATAGTTCAGACCCAGTATTTATTGCTGAGGAGGCACAGAGAAACAGCCTACCTTTTCTTCTTGGTATAACAAGTAGTGCCCCAAAGCCAGAAGGCAACACCAAGGGCTGGTGGAAGGAAGGCAGAAGGAGCCGGTGCTCAGCGGCATCCCCGACTGGCAGCAGAGTCAGGCCCGGGTGTGCAGTGCTCTCCTCCAGTCCCACCTTCTTCTCTCCGCTACCACAAGCCTGAACACCTCCGACTTCTCTAACCCCCCCCCCACACACACACACACCTCCCCATGAAGCCAAGCACGGGCTGGTCTGGCTGCAGTTGGGAACTCAAAGAGAGTTTTACTGACTGCTGCTCTTAAACAGCAAGGTCTGTTTTACGATCCGGGGCCCCTGGGCCCTGGGATACAGACGAAGGCATTACGCACATGAAGCACCGCTCACTTTTTGGTACCCGTTGTGCTGTTAAAAGGCTTCGTGGGAAACTGCTGAAAAAATCCAGTGAGAAGCGTCACCGGGAGAAGCCCATCAGGGGGTGCAGCCCCTTGCTCGCAGCCTGCCTGGCCCCCATCCTGCCTGGCCTCCATCCGTCCCCACACACCTTTCGGCTCAACCCCCCCTAGCCCTCCCTGCTGTGCCAAGGCCCCTGACAGAAGCCAGTGCCAGCCCTGGCTCTGTCAGCTGAGGGCTGTGCCAGAGTGACCCCCACCCTCCCAGGGTATGGGGATTTGTGAGGAGCTG